AGTAAGTACATGAGTAAATTTAATTAAGCTCCAAATTGTTTTAATATAATGTACCCATCCTCTGTATCTTACCAATAGATATAGTTTTCAGAATTTTCGTTGATTTTAATACTTTATACCAGTGGTGTAGTGGTGTGGAAACGGCGTTCCCTTACCTTTTGTTAGATGGAACGTCTTTCCTTCACTATTTCGAATAAATCCAACCGTACAAATTCCAAACCTCGTGAAGTGTTACCAACATCTAGAAGAAATAATAATTAACCCTTTAATCCAGGTTGTAGGCAAGTTAACAAAGTATAATGAAAAAAAATATTGCAAAATGCAAAACAAAATGTGTAGTTCTGTTAGTATTGATTACAAAGTTCCAAACAATTTATGATCAGAGTTTATACTTCTCACCTTTTTTCTTATTTTCTGTAGTTATTATATTGTTAGCAACTGACTTAGAAACTCGACGAAACAAAATAAATAGTACTGTCGGGTATTTTCAGTATGGACCCGAAATCCAAAGTAAATCTCCTGAGAATTTATAATATTTTTCACACCTATTTCCTATCTTTATTTTACTGTTAGTGGCTGAAGTAAAAACCTTTCGAAAATAAAGCAATGGATCGCCACTCTTATCATTAGACTGTTTACGTGACACTGTTCTTTGACACCATCCATAGCAAGTAAACTCATGCGGTGCAATTCCCAGAATTTTCCCGGCTTCGAAAACACAGTGGGTTAGGGTTTATCGGTGTGTTTGTAGTGCAGTGATTGCAATGGACATTGTCTAAACTTTATATAAAAGTGATGGAAAATATTTACGATATGGCTATATACAAAGTCTGTTCTCATAAACTTGTTAGATATTTGAATGTTAGTTATCTCCCGAGGTGGTCGGGATTTAGGGGTATAGTTGTAAAAGTATATAAGATCTTCTGAACATTCTGTTTCCTATTTAACCATATATACAGTAACCAATAAATGCTTATTTTCCAGTAATATAAATAAGGCCCGTTTTGGTTTAGCTAATACTTGTAACATAGCCTTCTTGTTAAGCACTTTAGAAGCGTTAAACAAAAGGGATGTTACTATAGTTTATGCAGACAAGTTAATTCGTCGTAGCATACGATTTTTTTGAAGCAATGAAGGAACGCAAGGGTAAAAAGGTCTTAAGAAGTAGAGAATGGCATTAAGGAAATGAAGGTTCATTAATAACACTGACAGAGAACAACAAGATTGTTGTTAAAAAGTAATCTCCTGTAGTTCTTCCAAATGTGAAAGAGGCTTTAGCAGCACGAACTTTATCATTATGAAAACAAGGTTTAGGCTGTTAATCAATCATGTGACAAATCTCATGTTCATTAGCTTCACGGTCCTCTGATTCAAAACTGGAAACCAGACGACTATGGATACAAATGGCTTAGGTGCTATAGTTCAGCAACTGATACACGAACAAGTGTAGCCAGGTCCAAGGAGTTCACTATAGACCAAGTTTGGAAGTTCTGTTTATAAGTTATCCAGGAATTCAAAAGTTCAAGGTTGAATCTATTTAGTTTTATGTTAGTGATTATAAGAGGAGTGGGCTTTTAGTTGGAATTTGTGAGAGATCATCAAATGAAACCGTTGAAATTAATGAGAAACTCTACAGGGAGATAAATAATTCAAGTGTTAATATTTATGGAATATTTCAGGCGTATAGATTGGAAAATCATTAGGGAGACGGTTTTTATAGAGACTGTTCAGGACGTTTTTCTTTAATAATTAGTTAGAGATCCTAATAGGAACATTGCTATTTTAGATTTATTGTTATCTTCTAAATCTCGGATCAGATAATATTTCCCCAAAGGTTTTGAAGGAGGTTAAGGACTGGTCATGTTAGCCGCTTGCTACAATTTTTTTTCTAAGTACTTGAATAATACGTAGGTGCCAGAAAATTGGAATTTGGCTAATGTTACTCCTCTTTTCAAGAAATGTGATAAAAATTGTCCCAGTAGTTATAGACCTATTATTCTTACATCATCCTAATAATTATATGTCTATTAGTCTTACATCAGTAGTGGGAAAAGTTATTGAAAGTCTGATAAAAGATTCTTTGCCAAGTCATTTAACAAAATTTTAAGAAAACGTTCGACAATGTGCCACTTGACTTGTTAAAACGTTATTTTTGTGGGTGTATGGTATAGATTGGTTCATTAGATAGAAAACTGGCTAGGAGGAATAGAGCAGAGGGTTATTATAAATAGAGTTTAGTCGAACTGGATTAATGTCGAGAGTGTGGTACTTCAGGATCAGTCTTAGGATCTTTGCTCCTTTTAATTTATATCAATGACATAGATGAAGGAATGGTCAATAAGTTACTTAAATTTGTAGATGACAGTAAGGTCTTGGATGTTGCTGCTTTTCAAAAGAATTTAGATCATTCAGTGAGTTGGGCAAGTAAATGGCTGATTGGTTTTAATCATAATAAA